AAGCAATGAAGCGATGATCAAAAAGGTGACATTTGTGATCCAGCGACGCGATACTCGCATTACGGGCAATGACATCACGTCCATCGCGTTTAGTGTGAACGCACAGTTTGGGTGCGCTCTCAACAGAATCCAATCATAACAAGCGCTGCTTGATGACGTTGTTGTTAAGCGACACAGTATACACCATGTTAAAGGCACATTTCATATATTCGACTGTTACAGCGCCCTTTCTCCTACCACTGTCATCAACCATAATTTCCAGCTGCAGCAGGCAGCTGTTTTCAGTGAAAACCTCTTACAAAACCACATCGCTAAAAGCAGACAAAGTTAGCTATTAGTTTGTAATCATACCGGAGAATTTAGCAGCTAAAGAGCCACATACTTACCACAGGAGTTGGGAGAGACCAAAAACAACCGGAGGACAGAAACATGACTCCAAGTAAATGTTGCTCCATTTCAGTCTGATGTGTAAATCCCTTAAATAATACTAAGTGTTTGCTGACCTGCTCACCACAGCAGCATTAGGCTAGATAGTGATAATATGTCAGTGTTGTGTTTGAAGCTTGTTGCACTGCCCCCTAGTGGCCAGAGGCCAAACATGAAAAGAACCTACAAGCAAACAAAAAATTACAGTTTTCTGGTGATTGATGGTGCATCACATATCTGCAGAAGATGAAATGGATCAGGCATGCCATAAGATCCTTCCCCAGGATGCTGAATGTATTAAACTGTGTGGACCTTGAACTAATGAGTAAGGAGAAATCTGGACCCTATGGCTGGACCAGTTGGGAACTACTATACTGTAAGGCAGCACAATCCAGTGACCTTTTTGTTGTAATGGAAGATTGGTTTATGCTAAATAAATGAATAATAGACATAAGGTTGAAAAGGTAGAAAAATACATCTAAAACAAACACAGAGTGACAGTGAGTGAGATGTTAAGGTGTTAGCGCATTTGTGTCATTTAGTGGAAACAGGGCTGGGTGATATAGGTAAAATCAAATATCACTGTTTTTTTAATATACCTTGATATTGATATTGACATGATATTGTAGGGTTGACTCTTGGTGCTTTCACAAAATATTTACACATTGTGATTTTTGATGAATAATCATCAGTGATGTGGATATTCAGTATATTATATCCCTGCACTGTAATACAGCTTTTAAAACTAGGAAAAGACAGCACTCAAGAAACTTTGTCATCATTTGTGCAATAAGCAGGTCTTTCCACCGTACCCTCTATTTTAACAAAGAAGTTTGTCTACTTCTCCTCTTTTATGGTGTCAGCCCTGTGAGTTGTGTTCCTCTTCGCAGCATAATTGATTTTTTACACAAAAACAGCATGATGCTGCCGACATTTCACAGTGTTGGGAGTCATATGACACAAGCCATTTGACTTGATAGTCTCAACTTGGCTCGTTGGGTTAAAGTTAGGAGCACACGTGTGAAGGTCCATTGGTTGTGTATCAGAGGAGACTGTAGGAACATATAGTGTAGCAGGAAATAGCAGCAGGGAGGAAAAGTTTGATGCAGGCAGCACAAAGCAGATGAAATACAAAAGATGCAGATATTCTTCATGTATTGTTTGAGAACTTCTGTGGTCACACCAAGAAAAACGACCACTAATTTACACTAATTTTATTCAACTCAAACCTCTCTCCATTTACTGTATGATACAACTCAGTCTGCTGGGTGCTATGTTCAGATTTAATAATGCAACATTGAAATCTCTGTCCTTTTTTTCTTAAAGATATTTTTGGGGCTTTTTAGCCTTTAATGTATAGGACAGGCAAGTGTGAGGGGGGGAGAGAGAGGGAGCGACATGCAGCAAAGGGCCACAGGCTGGAGTCGAACCCGGTGCGGCAACAGCCTTGTACATGGGGCGCCTGCTCTACCACTAAGCCACCGGTGCCCCAATCTCTGTCATTTTAAAGCAAATGAAAATTTGTCTTTTCCAAGTGGTGAGATTTTTCCCACAAGAGGTCACACAGTTGCTTTATAGAAAACTAAAATATTTGACTATGAAATCAGATGTGAAGCAGGAGACACTGTGACCAAAGCCCATTAGGAGGTGAACAGATTCAGGAGCGCATGCAAGACAGTCATGTGTAAGAAAGTGATGCAGAGCAGATCAGTTTGGTAAATTCATTCACACAACATAAAACCTGTCATTACTCAGTGACATTAAGATGTAAATGAATAGATATATAAAATAAATATATTGCTAACAAAATATACTAAAACTTAAACTGGACTCAATAAATTCTGTTTCTGGGCAGTGGGTTCTGTAACAGTGTGACATTTTTGTAAGAAAGGCAAAAGAAATAGGCCTACACAGACTGACTATAGAGCAACAATTATTGCTTGACTAAGCGATTATTTGATCAGCTGTCACCTATTCAATTAATTGCCAACAAAGGTGGAATAATCTATTCAAGAAAAAAAGTCTATCCGGCTTCTTAAATGTGATTTTCTGGTTTATTTGCTCCTCCGTGACAGTGAACTGAATATCTTTGGGTTGGGGACAAAGTAAGACATTTGAGGACACCATATCAGGCTTTGGAAAACATTTTTCACCATTTTCTAAAATTTTATAACTCAAACAACTAATCAATTAATCAAGAAAACAACTATCGAATTAAGCAACAATGAAAATAATCATTAGTTGCAGCCTTAATTGACTGTTTACAACGTTCAAGAAAAATCTTGAAAAACTGGAGCTCACTGGAACCTATAAGGACATCAGTTGTGATGGGTTCTTACTTAAATTGAGCTTAAAACCTCTCTTCTTAGTAGTGTAGTGGTATGAGTCAAATATAGTCAAATATCTGAGGTTATTAAAGATGAAAATGTAGAGACAAAGAATGACATCATAGCTGAAAAATGATCACCCTTAAATTTTTTCCCACACACATACAGGTAAAATGCATTTTAAACCCCAATGAGTGGAAGTTTTTGTCTCACAACCTGAAGTTTTACAAATCAAGAGGGGGAGGAAAAACTGTACATATCACTAATTTACTAAGATTAAAAACCAATGTGTAGAGTCCCTGTTGATCAATAAAGTCATGATGGCAATCTTAATGGGTGCTGAATGGGTGTTTTTGCTGTGTTATTGTACAATGTTTGAAATCCAGTTTAATATTCTCTTCTCACATCCAAGGGCCCACCTGTCCTGGGCCCTTGGATGTCCACCTGACACACCCTACTTGTACATCAGATTTGGCCATGATGCTCTAATGATCCCCAACCTGTTTTTCTGGTGACACTGTCACGCAAATCCATGTCTACTTGTGACCCCTAATCACAGGTTTCATCTCTCTGTGCAAAACACTTCTGAGCAGTGATTTACTCTGCTCAAATTGTTTCATTTAAACAACATTTAGAGTGCTGGGGAGATCAAATTTTAAAGTATTTCATGAGAAAAAAAGACAAAATTTAAGAAAAGTCCAAAAAGAAACAGATTTTTGTCTAAGCAGAGTTCCTTTTTCCTGCCACAGTAATCATCTTACAGCCCCATTGGCTTGCATTAATCCACTTACATGAATGAATGAATTACCGTACTTGCATGTACCATGTATGTCCAAACATTTCTCATAGGACACTGCAATGTACTTATCTTGTATAATTAACAAGTATTCAGTCTATCGGTGAAGGATATCTGCTAAATTATACAGCGAGAGTGTTTTCATGAATCAGGAGGAAGAGCCTGTGGGTAAGTTAAATCACCCACTATATATTTGGAAATGACACACATCATTATTACTAAAGCAACCAAGAAAATCAGAGCTGATTGAATAAAACCTACTGCAAGAAATGTCCACATTATTTTAAGGAAGGAGGGGATTATGAAATCATAGCATTAGCACCATATCAGCTCTGATATTCAAATGAGTGTTTCTGATATAAATCGCTCTTAATTTCAACCCTTAGATAATAAAATGAAAAAGAAAATAATAATAATTGTGGTAGCCTTGCGACCCCTAGGATGAGCAAATACGGAATTAATACTACTACTACTACTACTAAAACTAATAATAATAATAATAATAATAATAATAAATGTAATTTTTCAATTTCCAAAACAAAGTCACAGAGATCTTGACATGGTTAAAACAGGAATTAAAACAAAGAATAATGTTCTTGATCTTCGCTGTTAATTTCAACCCTTAAATAAAATAAAATAAAATTAAAAAAACAATAAAATAATAATTGTGTTAGCCCCACGACCCAATTTCAGCTGGGAAAGGCACCTCCAGCCACCCCGCAACTCCAGGATAAGCCGTTACGGAAATGAATGAATGAAATAATAATAATAATAATAAATGTCATTTTTCAATTTTCAAAACAAAGTTACAGAGTTCTTGACATGGTTAAAACAGGAATAAAAAAAAGAAACAAAGCAAAGAATTAAAAATGAATTAAAAAAATACAAGTTAAAATGGAAATATGCTCAAGGTAAAAATAGAAGGCAAAAACATTAAAAGATAAGACAATCTGGAAACAAAATGATATAGTTACACAAATAAAAAGCTTTTTAAATGATGAAATAAACTAAATAAAAAAAATATGTAAATAAAAAATAAAATAAATATTATGGTGCAACAACAATAAAAAGAAGTGTTTTAAGCACTGAGATTCTCCACCTTCCCTCCTGGGTGGAGGTGCCCCTGAAGGTGCCCCTGGGTCTGAGCCTGGCCCCTCATGTTTACTAATCCTGACAACGCCCCTGGACACAGTTAGTCATAGGCTATTTAATAACCACTGTGGACACTCTGGGACGCAGAATGAAACCACTCGGCTCATGTGATCTCTGATGGACCGGGGAAAACGACCCAGGGCTGGGATGGTCCTGCTCCGCGATGCGCTCCGATGATTGGAGACTGGGAGTTTGACAAGCTTGTTAATTCCGCCCATCAACACGACACGCCTCCTCTCTGCCTCACGAGCACGTCTGAAAACTACAAATGGGGAGTGAAGAGTTTGAAAAGTTGTCCGGATGAGCTGTTTCTCATCTCAAACGGGCAGTGGCACACACACACACACAGGGGGAGTAATTATTCATGACTTAAATGGCGGAGGAGCTACTTCTGGATAACCATGGGAAACCCAGCACGGTGAGTGCTCATCTGAGACTTTGATTATAGAGATGATTGACATGTAGATCAAAACTCCCATCGTCTTCTTCTTTAGTCACATACTGTTTGGATTATCTTGTGAGAGCATCCTGCTGTGACCTTGAATTGAAAGCACCCAGTGACTTTATTGTCTTCAACAGACTTCTGTTCATAGGCGTAGATTTCAGGGGGGACACAGGGGCCACGTCCCCTTCAGTATGTGCATTTAATGTGCATAGAAGCAGGGGGCTTTTATTTTGACAAAATTAAAGACATATACACTGTAGATTGGTGCAGAAAGGGCACAAACTAGTGGAGAAAATGCAGGAAATTCAGTGTTCAATCCTTATTGTTTTTTAGGCTGAGGAATCCCCCTCGCTTTATATGTGTCCCCCCCAAAGGCCTTGCTTCTGTAAACAGGCACAGATAACAATACAGATCAATACATGTACCTTTTACATTGACCTGTACTGTCTGTGCCTATATGTATACATATACTTGCCTGGGATTTTTGATTTCATCCAAAACAGCCTTTTAAAACAAAAGTTTGGGCTTAAAAAGACTATATGAAAGTCTTGGTAGTTCCAGAGCACTGACCAAACTGATGCAACATGTGAAGAGCTGCACATCCGACAGATAATCAACCTAAATTGAATGCAGACTGGGCAGCATTGTCTGCCGCGAGCTATTTTCACGTGTAGTCGTCTGACTTTGTCCATCAGGCTATTAACCGGCTAAATTAGGTTTCTTTAAGGCATCTATGCCGGTATTGTTCAGTTAGAGTAGAGTCAGAGCCTCCTCTGTGTACTGCTCCTCGTACAAACACACCAACATCCTACACTTTCACATTTTGAATGCCCTAAATCCTTCAAAGAGTGGATTTTGTAAAACCTTACTTTATTTAAAATGCTGAAAACATCACAGAGTTGTTGATGGGTGGGGTTATTGTGCGGTGCAGTTTTCTCCATAGCCTACTCCATCCAAAGGTATGGACGCTCAAAAACACATTATAATCCGACTGACCTTACAGTGGAGGTCAGCTAAGCTCTGTGTGCTGGAATTTCGGATGGCAGCCAAGAGGGTAGCTGCAGGCTGGTCCTAATGAAAATACAGTAGACTGCCCCCGTCCCCTCTTAAAGACGAAGAGCAGCTCATGTGACTTTGATATGGTCAACAGAAGTACCCAGCCGGTGTCTTAACATTCATCTGTAACACCACATGCCCTCTTTGCCCTCTACAACCTTTGTTGAGTTCAGCTGGTGAGAAGTGGAGCTGATGGTGCTTCATTATATCTGTGTTTTCTGCTAACTGTTTGTTCAGCTCATTCAAAGTGCCTCTACCAAAGCTACATGTGTTAAAGAGAGCAGGCGAGTTGGAGCTGGCCTGAATTGGCGTGCTGGTTTGTTTCAACTCTTATGATTCAATCACGTGCAGCTTGCTCGCTGCCTGTTGAGCTCTGCTGCAAAGTCCAAAGATCACAGACTCATATGCAACATATACCCTCATAATAATGCTGTTAATTACTCATACACATGAGCTAATCTCTTTACAGGCTACAGGCATCTTTAGAAAACAGGCACAATGTGCACATTTAGTTTTGAGGCTTTTAATTAGTCCATATAATGTTCTTTGCTGGCAGAGTTTCGATCATTTTAAAAAGTGAAGGCCTTTTTATTATTTTCAGATCATTTTTAACCAAGATGCCATGGAAAAATACAAATAACCCATATGTATGAAGAATATATAGCTCAGATCTTTTAATATAGGCCAGTGGTCATCAACATTTTTCAGGCCAAGCACCTCTGAGCTGAAAGACAGATGGGGTAGGGACCCCCTACTACATATATTGTATAAACCTGAGTTGCACTCAGAATCATTTTCTGAATATTTTCATGTCATCTCTCATTTGTATTTGCCTGTAGCTGCAAAGTTAGCAGCAGTTAAAGCATGGCAAGGCATGTTAGCCTCACCCTCTGTACTTTTGCCAGTGGTTGGCAATGTGTCAGAGGCTTTTGCTTGAAAAGTTACAATCAATTAATCCGTCGTGGCTCACTATAATGTCCGTACATTGCGAATAATAATACAGCTAATAGGCCAATATGTTTCAATAGCTTGTAACGGTCAGCTAACTAGTTCACCTTGCCGTTATGGATAAGAACCACAAGGTAATTTAGCACCAACTAGCACACATGATGGCACTAGGATTCATGGGTAATGGTTAGCTGCTCATCAATGTTGTGTACTGTGAATTAAATGTTTTTTTGGTTTTTTTTTTAACAGGCCAGTTCATCTCTTTAATTTACCTTCGCTAAGATGTTGGATTCCTTTTGATGTGTATTTTCAGACATATTTAAGATTTTGAAAAAAAAAAACAACAACCTGAAATTAAAACTTAAATCAATATATCAAACAAAGATTTGGTGTTGCAGACCACCTGTTGAAGACCCAGGATGTAGGCCTTTAACAGTTAAACTAAAAAAAGCTAAGTAATTTCTGTGATCTCACATTAATTGTTGCCTACAGGCCTGTGGACATTTTACTGTGTAGCTTTTGTTTGTATCTGACTTGTTTTCTCTCCTCATCTTCTCTGCAGCATCTCACAAAGCCTCTGCTAGCAGTGGCTTTGCTGGCCTCGTTTGGCAGCTCTATGCTCTATGGCTACAATTTGGCAGTCGTCAACTCTCCTGCAGAGGTTTGTGTCACCACCACATCATCAGCATCTTCATAGTGGTCATTCTTATCGCTGTCTGTCATCCACCCGAGTATTAAAATAGTTTTCACACTTTTCCCAAGAACTTCCTATTCCTAAAATCATTGAAAGAGACTCACTCTGTATTTAGTTGTTATTAATAGACATGGTAAAGATCAGATTATATGTTATTGTCATGTGAAGGCATGTGAGTGTGTGTATCAAATCCAGAGGCTGCTGTGACCCTCACCATGTCATCAATGTTCCGTCGTTTTTATACGTCATGTGCTCTGCTCTCTTCCTGCAATGTTTGATTTGCCGCGGTGCATTGACTGAGCTGTGAACCATTCCTGCTTGGCCACGGACCAACGACTTAAAGCATATTAGCCTCAGTACCACGTCTCATGCCAGTGTAGGGTACTGTTTAGAAGGGAGTTGCATGGAAAGAGCTGCAAGTGCTGCTTTGGACCCACACGGCACACTGTTCACTTTAAAAATTACTCTTTTCCTGAATTTTTGTTCACCTTTTTCAACTTTTTGTCCATTTTGATGTATTCTTCTACTAATCAATTGATAGATATCATCGAATGACACTGACAAGTTTGATATCTGTCATTTAAAGCTATTACGGTATGTGTAGAATTTTTATGTTTTTGGATTATCTTTCAAACATATCTGCAGTTTTGTTTGCTAAAGCAATGGAAACGTTGGATGGGGGTACCCACTGTGTTTTAGCCCTTTCATCTTGCTATCCCCAGGTTGAATGTGGGTCAGACATTAGCTTGCATTGCTGTTTGCCACTGTGTCTTCTTTTTTATACTGCCACTGTGGGTCACTTGAGAATTTTCAAATTTGGGTTTAAAGGAATGGTGGACATTTGGGGAAGTTTGCTCAATTATTTTCTTGTCAGTAGTTAGATGCAAAATTAGTACTCAGCATGGAAGCAGGACAAAATAGCTGTCTGCTAAGCTAAGCTAAGCTAATCGCTTTTTAGCTCCAGCTCCATATTTATTGTACAGATAAGACTATCAATCTTTTCATCCGACACTCAGCAAGAAAGTAAATAAAAGATGTTCCAAAATGTCAAACTTTTTCTGTAAACCTGCAATAAATTCTGGGTTTTTCTGGCCTCTTGGGGGCAACGGAAACAAGCTTTAAATGCAACATTGACATATCATCATCTTTTCAGTCGAGAACTTGTTAGCACATCTCGCAGTTGTAGAGCAACACCACTTTTTTGGAGTCATGTCTCTGGTCAACAATTAAATGAAAGTCCAATATACATTCCTCTTTTCGCTTTGTTTTTTTGTCTCCACCAACTCCTGAGGGAAATATCTGTCTCTTTAGCAGCTAAGTGCTTGACTTTGTTCATCAGCTAGTTGCTAGTTGTTTCTGACTGCTGTTTGTGGCTGGCCAGGTGGTGTACGGTAGGTTTGTAGAGCCTTTATTGCTGAAAACAACACTATGAGAAACCTGAGTGGTTCATAACAGCTGTGGATGGGTAAGGCTAAAAAATGAGCTGCTCGGTTCCACCTCTCCTTTGAAACGTGTAGATATTACGGAGCAATTCAGTATTTCCTTGTTCAGTTGAAGACAATTGGTCATTGTCACACTGATTCCAAATAGCTACTAATGTGGTGAAGTCAAACCTTTAACCATGGTCCATGTGACTTCGGTGTCCTTTGTAGTGTTCAGTGATGACTGCTGTGTGTCATCTGATGTTAGTTACGTCTGTTTGTTCCAAATTAAACTTTAGGTGTGACAGAAAGTTCAGTGGGTGGTGAGTTGAGAGAAAAAGAAGAGGTTTTTTAAGGATACTTGAAGAGCTAATGACCTGGCTTTTATCAGAGAAGTAACCTTGTGTTACCTCTCTCAATGACAGCTTACCGGCTCCAAATTGTAGTTCGGAACATGCTGGCTTATTAGCAGTAATTCAGCTTGGCTCGTTATTAGCTGGTAACTAGTAGCTAGTGGTCCGGACCACTCCACTGAAGGACGGATAGCGAGGCATTCGGGTGCCGTTCACCAACAATGGCTTTATTGAGGTCCTCGCCACAAAACAATAAACATGGCCTTCTCATGAGGTCACACAGAAGCCCTGAGCTTATCTAGACACTTAATTCTGCCGGCTATCATCACTCTTTGCCGCATTCACCATGACACACCCGAGAGAGAGCTACTTCCTTCCATGAACACGAAGCTCACATAACACACTCACAGGTTACCCAAAAGGCCATTGGCCCCAAAGGGGAAAAAGGGTGAGCCATCAACACTTGTCTCTGGCCTCCCTAAAGGTATACCATGCAGGATTGTCAGTTACTGTAAACATGCTCGCCAGTGAAAATGGAAGTAACAGCCAACCCCAGATTCACTTTTGTTTGGCATTTTGTCTCGCTTGTGTTTTCACAGTGCTGTCTCTCAGATGCCTGCTGTTAACCGCTTGGCACCTGGTCCCTACGTTTTATAAAGTCTTGTCCCAAACGCAGAGAATAAGAAGAAAATGCAGGCAGAAGGCAGAGTCTCTACTGATAAACACACCTCCACAGAGTGGGTCATAATTGATGATTGAAAGGGATTACTTCTATCTGAGTATATTTTTTGTTTTGTTGCTTAAATCCTGCATAGTATATCTTTACTTGTTTATTTTAGGCAGATTTGCCGCAGTTAAAGAGAAGTGATTTAGTATTTTGAGTAGTGATACTACAATGTGTTTTTAAATCTTTGAAATCATTGTGTTTAAAAAATGTCCTAAGATGTGTTGACCTTTAAAGTTAAAGGGAGGAATCAGAGTCATGTCATAATATCTTTCTTATTAGCCTTTTCGGCTTGTATTCTCTGTGCTTTTCTTCTTCTGACAAATTGCAAACTGGTCGTTGACGTCATGTGACACTGGGTCATCACTCCAGCTATTGTTCAAACAAACTTTGACACAGTCTATTTGACTCAATGCTTGTCATGAAGCAAAAGAGCTTTGGGGTAACATTCAGCAGAAGTCAGATGATCAAATTTGAATTTCCGTCCTTGTTGACTGTGTTCTTGCTATGTGTCAGTGAGGACTCTCATCAGTGCTCTGTTTTCACGCAGGAACGTTGCACAGGGTTGCACTTGAGAAATGCAACTTTTCTGAGGTTTCCAGTTAGTTTTTTCTCTCTCCTGTGCCTTTTAGGTATTTTGCTAACTTGCCATGAGCCCCTATACCGATTCTGATAACTAAACTCAGGTACAGGCTGATACAGATGCAGTTTAAAATCTGTACCTCACTGCATGGACCTGTTTTTGCAAAACAGGAAACAATGGGGCTCCTGCTGTGAGAATACAGTTCAAGTTACAGCATAAGAACTACCGGCAATAATCAGCCCTCTTGCAGCAAGGGCCCAATACGACTGAATCAAGGTGGATTTTACTGAAAGTTATAACAACAGTGGTTAAGAGACTTTTTATTTTAGGATTAGTCATGTCTGGCTGATACCTGATCCACCTAATGAGGTTAATATTAATACTGATACTGATATCCAGCATAGTCAATCACAATCACATCTCTCTGAAATCACACGAGCCTCTTTCATGCATGTCATGCTAATAGTTTTCACTTTGAAGGTTGAGTAAAGATCTGTGTGCGACTATTACCAGCATCTGTCTGTCATCCACAACTGCCTGCATGTTCTATGAAGGCCTTTCCTTTTAAACAGTAGGTATGTCGATTACACAACCGAGATCTGAGGGTTACCTCAATCAATTCTTGCTCAATCAGCACCAGGCTGTTGCAAGGTGATAACTGTGAACAGTAAAACTGTAGTTGGTAACTTTTTGCTGAATTTGCTGAAACTCACTATATTCACACAGCAATAAATGAGACACATAATGCTTGAAAGAAAATCATATTCCTCTGCCTGCTCTGTTGCCTTGTAACACTTTTAATGGCCTTAATGCTTATGAGCGAAAACAAACAATCAGAGCCAAGGAGTCTCAAACACAGCTGTCAATCATGTCAATCACTGCTCATGAGCTGCAGTACAACTGTCAAACTAGGCAGCGCTGATCAAATATCAATCAAGATTCTGTTACTGCACTGCTTTTTCACCTCAAACGTTTTCAGAAACATATTTTAGTGTACTGTTGTAGCTGTAAAATAGAACGTTGGTTCTGCCAGTGGGCGGTGCTTGGTGCTTTAGTCAACAGTTTCCAACATGGCAGTAGGGTCATAAACTTTCTCAATTCACAGCTAGACAGTACACTAAAATATGTTTCTGAAAATATTTGAGGCAAGAAACAGGTAATGCATTGATAGAATCTTGATTCATATTTAATCCGCGCAGTTCACATGCAGTGGTTGACATGATTGACAGCTACATCAGAGACTCCTCGGCTCTGATTGGTTGTTTTCGTTCATGTACGGTAAGGCTTGAAGCGTTACAAAACAGTAGAGTAGGAAGAGGAATATGATTGACTGGTTGTTGTCATTGCACCACGGTCTGATTCTAGCAAATGCCATTGGAGGCAGCAGGAAGAGAAGGAGGGATATGATTTTTTTTCCACAGACGGTCTCACCCTGGACAGGTCACCAGACTATTGCAGGGCTGACACACAGCCATTCATGGTCACATTCACACATACGGGCAATTTAGAGTCACCAATGAACCTAACCTGCATGTCTTTGGACTGTGGAAGGAAGCTGGAGTACATGTACATGCAAACTCTGCACAGAAGTGCTCCCCTGCCCCAGGGCTCATGCCCGACCACCCAGGATTCAGGGTACCCTCTTGCTGTGAAGTGACAATGCTAACCACTAACCGCTTCCCTACCATGCTGCCAGACTGTCTCTAGTCTCGCCACCAGACAATCAGAGATCTCGGCCTTCTGATAGTCTGGGGACACTCCTTTCTAAAGTGTGTTTAACACACCGGTGAAAACGGCCGGCAACAAAGCAACGCCTCTTGCATTTTTGAAAAGGACACGCCTTCTCGGAAACGTGCGCTCCCCCTTTTCTCGTCCGCAAGGAAACAAACACACAGAGAGCTTGAAAATGGATGCCCAGAGATTTAACTCCGTTTTATCAAACGTGTGCTCATCCGTGAAGAAAATATTTTTTCCAGCGGATGTCTTAGTTACAACATGATTGAGCTAACTGGAGTAGTTTCATGTCGTATCCGACAACGGGAGGCTTTTAACAGATGACGTCCTGATGTTAGCTTTGCTGCTAGTGTTAGCTGTCCCTGTCAGCTGCTGTCCCTGATGCTTTCTAGACATCGTGATTTCCCAAAACTGAATAAATACCACACATAGCAACACAAAACTGCTTTGCTAGCTCAACCATGTTGTTTCTAAGATATCCGCTGGAAAAATATTTTTTTCACGGACCGTTTAATGAGTTATTACCTATTACAGACACCGCTAACGGCTAAGAAATAGTAATGTTTGTACAATCATTGTGTTTATAGACTTTACAAACATCGGATTAGTCTAAACGGTGATACAGTGATGTGAAAAATATAAAATTATATATAACGTTATAGCTAAAAGCTCTGCTGGTTTTCTACCCGGAAGTATTTGTAAACAACAAGGCGATTCCCTCTAACGTTATAGTCCGGCCAGACGGATGAGTCATGGCTTTGTAAAAGATTATGTTTGTTTATTTTGGCGAGAATGTGTCACCGCAAACGCGACAAACATCCACTAACTTTGACAGCGTTTTCTGCGAGCGCGGCTGAGCCATTTTGTACCGCTACACATGTTTCTAGTCGGACTATGTTTACAAGCACAGGAGTTTAGTGAGCCACCGAAGGACCGCCCTGCAGATTTACTATTGGTTCTGCAACGTAGGGAGTTTTTTCAAACTCTGAAATTGTATCCGCCCATCTAAACACAAAATCAGGGAGAAAGTCACCAGTCTTTAGTTAAGCAAAGTGTCTAAAGACTGACTTGTGAGTCTAGACTGTCTCATGCTTCCTTCTGAATGTAGTGACAGTTTTAGCAAATAGACACAAAGTTATTTTCATTAAAGGTCCGTAGCTTAAACTGTAGCTGTAGTTTAAAGTGGAAGTAGACAAGTTCATTGCTTTAACTTGTCATTATGAAGTAAATGCTGATTGCACAGTGTAATGGCTGTAAAATAAGGTAGCCTCTACCACTGGGTACAATGTCCCAGTAAAATGGGGGTTCAGTTTACACCACAGAGGGAGTGCTTCAACCACTGTGCAACCAAAACACAAAGAGGATAGTCCTTTTTTCCCCCATGGTAGCTGTCAGCAGCTATCCACATTTACCAAAGAGTATCAGTGTAAGGTCTTTGCAGTTACTGTCTCCAGTAGTCGAAATGGTTGAACAACAAACTGTGGCAGTTGCTAGGCTATATGTCAGAACTGTACACAGACTGCCACTTTATATAGTTCTCCACATGTGTTGGAGACATTCTTGGACAAATTGGACACACACTGTCCAGAGTTCCATGACAAATTGACCAATTAAAATGTCTCTCCCTTCATTTCATCACTGAACTCCCACAGGACCACCCATTCCTTCAAATGATCACACTGCATCCTCACTATTTTACAAAAACAAAATAAATCATCTATTAAGCTGCTAACACTAAAGCTTCTCACACAAATTAAAATGAACTCTTATTTTTCCGTCTCCCATTTTTCTGATGTCTCATTTCGCAGACAGTGACTGAATTGTGTCTCTTGAGATGAATTGGGTTTAATGTAATGGGTTCTCCAGGACAGCCTGATCTCAGCGGAGTCTTCAGTGTCAGATAAACCTGAATGAAATGTGAGGGATGTTGTTGGCCTTTGCTGTAAATTTTGTGTCACACCACGAGAATAACCACTGTCATTTTATCAAGCATGCAGTTTATGATCCCTAATCGTCAAATTTGATTTGACTTTGACTGTGGGGGCTCGATGAGCTTCCTGTCTACTTAATATGGCTGCCTCTCCTGCTGATTCAAACATCTCTTCATCCCATCCCCCAGTTCAGTGTACGCCCAATGCTGTGAAAATGGCAAGACTAATGTTGACATTTGGATGCACGGCACTGTGGGAAATAGTTACTGTTGTGATGATGTCAAATTTCATGGCCACCATTTTTATGCTCCAATTGTATTGCAGTGATGAGGTATACAAAATACATCTTGCAAGTTTATTTCGGTCTGTTGTGAAGGCAAAATGGAATATATTGGAAAAATAGAATAAGAAATTAGGGAAAATGGGAGGACATCTTGTGTGTCCACATGGTTTATTTTCATTTTAATTAATTAATTTATCATTATTCCTGGCGGTCAATATTAAATTAACTTTTTTCTTTCCTCTACCAGTACATCAAAGACTTCTACAATGAGACGCTGGTAGAAAGTTACGACTGGTATCCAGATGAGGAGCTCCTCACTGTCTTGTACTCCCTCACCGTGTCCATATTTGCTATTGGTGGGATGACCGGAGCTCTGCTGGTGGGCAGACTCGTAACCAAATATGGAAGGTAAATGTCTGTGTGGATGATTTTTGGGTGTATGCTCAGTGCTTGTTTGTGTTTGCAAAATGCCGTCAACCTGTGCTTCTGTGATCCCTGTTTATTCAACATTCTCAAACAGGAAAGGGACGCTGGTGAGATCCACTGTGCTGGTGTTTATAGGAGGAGCTCTGATGGGCTTCAGCAGAGGGTGCAGGATGCCCGCGATGGTCATTCTTGGACGCTTCATCACAGGAGTACACTCAGGTACTATATGCCCATCCACCATTTGTACGTGGGGCCCATGTGGGTAGTAAATGTGTTGGTTGAAAAATGGGCCCTATATGGGAAAATGGGCATCTTATCTGGGGCTCACTTGGGTAAACCCACATATGTGGGCAATAGGCATGGGGCCAATATGTAATCCATGAACAATCCAATATAAGGCTCATTTTCAGCTCATTTACCACCTACAATGGCCCTACATACAAATGTTGGCTGGGGGCCTGCCTAGTTTCTGAACGACTGTAATGAATTACAAAGCGTCGCATTGATTCATTTCCCCATTTTGTATTCACTGTATAACAGCTAAATATAAGCCACCCAAACTACAAACAAATGCCTGTGGAAATAAAAGTAGCAAAATTGTGACGCATGAGGAGAATTTGCTTTGGTTTTTTTTGGTTTTGTTCAGTTGATTGATAACATCAAATTTCCTCACAGTCCACCAGCCTTATCACATTTGAGACAAGCATTTAATATTTCTTATGTAAAGGATAATGTACACTGAGCCTGATACAAAGCAGAGGGCTCTTGAATCACCCTGTCTGGGTTTATTTCACAGTTATGACCTGCTCACCTGACATTAACTTTGCCTATTATACACTTACTCACTAAAGAAACCAATAAAATGAAACAAAATATTGATTTTATTGCTTCCGCTAAGCAGCTACTATGAGAACGGTATCTATAGTTAGCTGTTACTCATAGCAGCAGTCCATTATTCAGAAATAACAGACTCTAAAATGTTGTAATTGACCAATCAGATCAGATCAATTATTTAACAAAGCTGTGTAATAATAAGAAATATTACATAATTGGAACAAAAATCTAGAACATTGAATCATGTGAACAAAAATTATGTAATTTTCCTAGAGATATCTTAAACCCCTGAAAAAGAAATCACACAATCTTGAGCATTTTCATGAAAATTAAACCTACCCATGGTAATCTCTCTCTTCTTTTCCACAGGGATCTGTCTCAGTGTGGTGCCCATGTACCTCGGTGAGATCGCCCCTAAGAACCTGCGAGGCTTCCTGGGCCTTGTCCCCAGCATTCACATTTGTCTTGGGGTCTTCATTGCGCAGGTGCTGGGACTCCATGAGCTGCTGGGAAAGGTACCAACATCATGATGTTCAAACACTACACAGGTCTGCTCAGTCATGTGGGTGGCAACATTAGGTTTGTTTCCAGATTTATTTTACCAGGTAAAATAAGGCAAAATAAAATAAAATATCATAACATAAAACAGAGTAAAAACAGAAGTAAAATAACATAAAATAAGATAGAATAACATAAAATGAAAACCTTCTGGTAGTGAGTTTGAGGCATAGACATCTCTATCCTCTACAGTCCTGGTGTTGATTAATGAATACACATCAGATGCTTTTTAATGTCCCTCTCACTTAATCAGGTTCAATCAATTGGTTATTTGTCAACTGAATTAGTATAAATATAAATCAAGTGAAATGCAACAGAGCTGATCCTGAATCTTGTATAAACTATGGCACATTCACATATCACTTATAGGCATGAATATGTAGCACAATACTATAATAATAATAATAATAATAATAATAATAATAAATGGGTTGTTTTCCACACAGGAAGAGCACTGGCCTCTGCTCCTGTCCCTGGTGGTGTTTCCTACCACCATCCAGCTGATGCTGTTGCCATGGTTTCCAGAGAGTCCACGCTACCTGTTGATAGAGAAGGGGAATGTTCACGCCACCATTGCAGGTTAGAAACTGGACCTTTTTTTCCTAAATGTGATTTAAATGTTTGATTATAAAAGAAGTCAACACTGTCATAATTTTTCTTCACTACCTGCAGCTCTTGTTTTTTGTTTCTTCTTTAACGTGATCATTCATTCAATCTTTATTGTTAGTGTAAAACCTTTACAGTCTGACTCAAAAGCAGTAACAGTACATACAGATCGTGCCATGAAGTCACTGTACTGGGATGACTGAACCTGCACATGAAACTCTTTTTTCAGACTTTGATATCTACTGGTGTTTCTGCAGGCTTGTAAAAGCTTATACTTCTGTCCTGTAGCCCTGAAGTGGTACCGTCCTAAAGGAAACATCCAGGCGGAGGTTGATGAGATGCAGGAGGAGCAGCGCTCTCTGTCCTCCATCCAGACCATCTCTGTCCGCGGCCTGCTCATGGACCACTGTGTACGCTGGCAGGTCATCACCATTGTAGTGGTCAACATCGGCATGCAGTTGTCTGGCATCGATGCAGTAAGTGTGAAAAGCATTGTGTGTCCTGTCAGTCTCTGTGTTTTAGATGCGAAAAGACTGTGCAGTTATTATATGAGTGTGAGATCTCATATTGCTGTAGTTCCCAGCTGTGCTCCACCCATCTGTACCTCCTCCTGTCCATACATTAAAATCCCACATGAAGCCACTGAGTGACTAAGCAGGGGGCAACAGGACCACGCCTCATTATCTCCTGGTCCTTTCTGTTAGTGCTACCCCACATGAGAAGGTCCAACCATCCACACACAAGTCAAACACATCTGAATACTCATTGGATAGAAGCTCCTTGCATGCTGGCTCACATGCTAGTACCATTTCCCAGCAGGAGTGCACCCCGCTGACTCCCGCTGTCCCAGGAACACTGGAGGGCTTGAAACATCTAGACGAATCCATGTGTTCAAACGCTGTGTGCCATAAATCTGTGACACAAAATGCTGAATCAAACATTTTAAAAGAAATGTGCTTGTTGTTTCAAATATCTTGGGCCTCTATAATTGTATTTGTGCAAACCACATCTTTGACATAAAGAGATGTTACAAAGTTATGTCTACAAAAAAAGGTCTGATTGTTCCACAGTATGTGTAACACTGATCACACTGGTCCTGCACATCTGGAACCACTCGAACAGGACAGAATCTTGAAATCACTATTTTTCTTACATCTCCATTGGCCTATCCATCAATCTTTAAGATACTACTATAACTGTCAGGGCGCTTAGATCACAAAGCAGCAACCACACATTCCCATTTCTTTCTTGTTTCTTTTTTTGTTCAAGGTCTTTTTTATTAACAGACACTTAAACCAAGCATATACAACATCAATGTATCCTCATACAAAGATTTTTATGATATCTAACAGGTGCCCCATGAATGCCGTTATGTACTTAGCATGAAATTACGTACCTAACATGTAGTTATTTAGGTTAGGTTCAGGATGAGAAACATAGTCAAGACATACCTCAAAATAACTCAGATTTCATTTGGTTTCACATGGTCCGAAACAGCAGTCTCCTAGAGGAAAGTCCTGCGTTTGTTTGACCCATCCACCACCCCAACCTACCACCTTATGTGGACTTTTACGTTTTACATTACTTCCGTTTATACTCATGTCAGCACATTGGTCACATGATTGCAGCCTTCCTGACTATGTGAGTTAAAGCTTCATTTTGTGTCATATTTGATGAAACTGTCATTATATTTCAAAATAAGTACATGAGACAGTTTGTGAAAAATAATCATGTCCCTCCTCCCCTCCTAATGCCTCTAATGGCATTCCGTAGGATCAGACTGTGGCGCAGCAGCAACAACCAATCAGAGCCGAGCTGTCAATCATGCCAATCACTGCTCTTAAAATGCGGTCAAACATATCAAATATAAATCAACACTCTGTTTGCATTGCTTATTTCTCACATGCAGTACAGCCATTAGAAGCACTACGAGGCAATAGAGGACGCGGAAGAATGTGATTTTTTTTTCACGGATTATCTGTCTCATTTAGGGCAGATTTGTGAGTATTGTGACAGTTTCAGCAAATATGTAAAGAATTATTTTTTAAAAAAGTTAACTGTAGCTGTAAACCAGAACTACTGGCTCATGATTATTTTGGTTGGTATTTTGGTTATATAACAGCCTGACAGCATAAACACATATTTTTTGTTTTGTTTTTTAGTCACACACGCAAGAACAACTGAGCAAGACAAACTGCAGTAAATAGAAAAGTTCATAAATAATAACTTAAACCATGATCAATAAGGACAAAAAGAAACAGCAACAACAATAAATGAATAGGTAAATAAATACATTACAAGCTACATTTCTCTGCTTTCAAAAACCAGATCTGCAAATCTTTTCTAACTAATGCAATGCATGACCTTTATAACCTAATTACCATATACTGGTTTCAGCACCCACCCATTACCACCACAACAACTGGGACTATTATGTTTCCTTAGTTATTTTGTTTGTTGAGGATCGAGCTATTGAGCTGAAAATGAGCCAACTAAGTGATATTTTAAAAGTGGAGGGTAGCACACTTTTAAGTTTAAAAATTTGATATACATACATGCAGAAATACAAGGCCATCTATGACTGTTTAGTGAGCTCTACATGCTTCGCTGTTTGGATTTTCTCCTAGTTAATGAAGGTTTGTTGTACGCCTGGCATAAAGTGAAACTTTTGACACTTGTTCAGTTCATCAAGGCAACAGTCAAGTTTGGCGACATAAGAGCAGTATGTCTGCACTTTTGCAGATGATGTTGTCCTTTTGTTGTTTAATGGACTGTAATACAAACCAGAGAATGATTAGAGACAGGGTCCTTTCTTTGGCTTAAGGTGTCTGATTAATTTCAGGCAGAAAATGGGACGGTACTGGGAAGTGGAGTTCAGGTATCACACATGAAGGTAGAAATAATCATGATGATAACTGCCACATCGTAGCGGGTAGACTTTGCCATAAAAAGTGGAACCACAAAGCAAAACTCTGATTTACAAGCCAGTCTTCATTCTCACCATCACTGAGGTAGTGACCTAAAGAAGTGATTTTAACATAGCGTTATACAGCTCACTCTCAAACATGATGGGGAGCTAAATGATCCAGGAAGACCTTTGAGTATAGAGGGTTTAGATTAGACGGTTTAGACAGGTGCGGAGTGCCCTTAAGGTGCCTCCCTCTGGCTGTGTAATTGGGAAAAGACCTTGTTGTACACTTAGATGCACCAGAGGGACTACATCAGTCAGCTGGTCCAGGAACAGCTTGGGTTTGGCCTGGAAGAGCTGGAGGAGATCTCAGTGGGGATTATGCCAGGGCTGCTCTGCTTACTCTGCCTGTCTTGAATATGTCTCTGGATGGATGGATGAAGAAGACCACTGGGAGAAAGAAGATAATTATTTCTAGCATACATGGATATAAATAGTCACATAACAGTCTGGTCCTTAGAGTCACCGGTGGTTTATCAGTTGAGCAGAGTCTAGTGCTTTTGTAAATGAACTGCTGATATGTATAAAAACAAAATATCTAATCTGAAATAAAAACTGGATTTCTGTTATAAGGTAGATTTTAGTTCAGTGAGGAAGAATTTTAGCTCATTGGAATATATTTTCTCAAGAAAATGTGTGCAAAACAATATAACTGCTCACAATTCTTTTTCTTTTTCCAAGTAGTTTGTGTTTGTGTATGTTTCTGCTGTGATAAAGGCATGTGTATGCCTACTCCAGAGCTGCGATGGTGATGAAATAGTATACGTATGGTTAGTAAATCAACAAAACAGCGTTTAACTGCACCAATCATGATCTTGTCCACACCTCATCAATGATGGATGGTGCATCAGCAAAATGTGATTAATGAGAATACACAAATTAATTTCAAGGGGAGCACTTGTCAGAAGTCCATACTGATGAAACGCTGTATCTCAAATGCATGAGTGATGGTCGGCGTGATGATAATGATTGCTATGATGAATCACACGGAAGCAGCAAATAAGCAGAGCGACTTTTTGGCTCCTCATGAAAAAAAAAAAAAAAGAGGAAAAACTTTGAGTCTCAAAGCATCTGTCTGTGTGTGGGTGTGTGTCTGTCTGCAGTCTGACATATTCATCATATTAATAAAGTTCATGTCACTTTTCAATTTCAGATCTGGTTCTACACAAATGACATATTTAAGAACGCAGGAATTCCAGAACCTTATATTCAGTACACAACCGTGGGTACTGGAGCCATTGAGGTCATCTCTGGGATGCTGGGGGTGAGTCGACATTATCACACTTTAAACACACTAAGATGCCATTATTATCACTATTACATGACAAAATTGATGAGCAGATCCAATGTGGGGATTTGTTCCTTTTCTACATGTTATATAACTGTAAATCGAACATCTTTTAATTTAAGTGTATTATTTAAACAAAACAAGTCATTTGCAAACGTCACCTTTGACTCTGTGAACTTGTGATGAGCATTTTTATAGACTTGACAGTTAATCATAAAAAATATTGACTGATTAATTTATAATGAAAATAAGTATTAGTTGCAGCCCTAATTGTATTCATGGTGTACTTTAACAGCAGAATATAAATGACAGTTTAGATAATAAACTCAATGTTTCAGTCATTAATCAAGTAAAAATACAAAACATTACAATGTGAAAATTAGCTGCTTTCCTGTGTTTTGAATTGCAAAATTAATATCTTTATAATGTACTTTTTGACTGTTGGTGACACAAAATGACACACACACACACACACACACTCACACACACACACACACACACAAAACATTAAAAATGTCACTTTTGTCTGGTAACTTGGAGTTGAAAACTGTAATGTTCACATTTTATACACTAAATAGTTTATCGCTGAATTGGAAAAAAGTTAATACATGTTGGAGATAATTGTTAGTTTCAGCTCTACTGAATTTCACAATTTTAGCTTGTATATCTCATTCCTCCTTCAGACCGATGTCATCCTCTGTTTCGGAAATCATTATGTTGAGCTCTTTACCCATAGAACTTAAACTTATGCCGGCCTCACACCAAACAACTTTTCAAATTATTTCACTGTTGCAGACAAATTTCCAATTCATTCATTCATTCATTCATTTATTTTCCGTAACTGCTTATCCTGTTGGGGGTCGTGGGGGGGCTGGAGCCTATTCCAGCTGACATTGGGTGAGAGGCAGGGTACAACCTGACAGGGCTGACACATAGAGACAGACAACCATTCACACTCATGTTCACACCAACAGTCAATTTAGAGTCACCAATTAACCTGCATGTCTTTGGACTGTGGGAGGAAGCTGTAGTACCTGGAGAAAACCCACGCTGACACGGGGAGAACATGCAAGCTCTGCACAGAAGGGCTCCCCACAGGAACCCCCTTGCTGTGAGGCAACAATGCTAACCACTGCACCACCAAAAATGTTTAATACTATTATAATTTGTTTTGTCTTGGCTCATGCAAATACTGAAGTTTAATGATGTGAACACTGTCAACAACCAATAGCTGGGCTCTCCGGCACCAAATAGGAAGCAGCAAACCGGGTAGACAGTAAAAATGGAGGGGACTCCAGGGAGGCACAAGAACATGAACAAGTCTTGCTCTGTGGAAAAGGAGGAGAAACTTGTGGAGTTGGGTAGTGAACAAGAGTTGGTGTTTAATACAGCATGATCTGATCCACCAATCAGCATTTATTTCAGTTCAGCTAACCAACAGAGGCTGGTAGTGAGTCAAGGACAAAAATATCCAAAATGCAATATACTATATTGATGCCAAATTAACAAGAATGCTGCGGAGTTGCTGAGTTATGCTGAGTTATTTCCAGAGTTGTGTGTTGTTGCGGACAAATAAAGGAATGTTAATAGGCTATGTTATACATCTTGAAGTCTAAAAGTTTGGCACAATACTTTCGACCAGGAACATAATAATCTCAAATAATCTCAAAAGGAATCTAGTTGTCTAACTGTCTTGCAAATAATGACTCTTCAAAATCCCCAGTCTTTGCAAAATCTCAAAGTGTGTGACCAAAAACTCAGGCTGTCTTTAAATACGAGAGTTGAATCAGTCATGTAATCATGAACGATTAACTACTTGTTTTTAGTTTATTGTTTTTACATTGTTGTTTTGTTGTCCTATTGAGTTGTGTACTGTATAAAGGGCTATTTAGGCTATAGACCATTTTCACAGCAACCATTTTGGTTTGTCACAGCAGGAAGATCACAGATGTAATTGATAACATTAAAAGTGGCTGTTTTTTTTGTTGTTTTTTTTAATTAAGTTGAGCTACTTCCAGGTTTCTGATATTGTGTGTGCTGGCTCACTGCCATAACTTTCAGGGACACTTGATGAATCATTTAACAAACCGGGTTTCACCTGTGCCTTTATGCTATAACACGTCAAAATGTCTGCTGTGAGAAAGGTGTCTGATATTGTAGTATGTGGCACGGGTCCATGCTATATACTTTTCCATAGAAAAAAATAAAATTGGTGACACAGCACATATTATTGACTGCTTTTAGATGTTCCTTACTTTAATTTTACTTTTATTTATCAGGGATATCATGCTGAAATTTAACATCAGAGGATAAGAAGTAAGCTGTTTCTTGCTCCATGTCATCTCATGTTGCGGGCTTATCACAACATTTCTCACCTCTGTGTCTGTTTTGCAGTGTTTTACAATCGAACGTCTGGGCAGGAGACCTCTGATGATTGGCGGCTTCCTCTTCATGGGACTCTGCTGTGCTGGGATCACAGTGTCTGTCCTCTTCCAGGTACAGAAAGTGTCCTGTTGTTGTTGCCCTGCTCAGAATATATCAACATTAACTTGCAGATGGTGGCATAGGGCATACAGTGCATTGTTTTAAATGGGGCTAAGGACATTGCCGAATTTACATAATCATTTACATAAACTAAAAACTGTGTCTAATTTATGGTGGGGATATTTTTGCATAATAACATTATATAAGAATAGGTGCCAATATGAATATTGAAAAAGTTAATCTGAAGCTTATGTGAGGCTTCAGCAGTCTGAGGTAAATAACTCAAGTGGGTATCTTGCAAAATTAAAGTCTTTTTAGAGTTGAATTTCTTCCCTTTATTTCCCTGTTGAGCTGCAGTGGAAGCATAATAACAGAAAGAGGGACTTTTATACTAAAAAGGCTGCTACATTTGGAAGAAATGAACTTGACTTGTCCGACTCACTGGATGTAGACCATGGCTATAAGCCTGCATGTTACAGTTCAAAATCCCCTTTGCTACGGTAAACAACAACAGCCTCCGAGCTAACAACCTATAGCTGAGAATGGCAAGTTTTGGTGAAGTTTTGGATTGGGTAATAAAACATGCCTGCTTTGTTTCCCCAGATAATATCCACAACAAATAAATCAACTTGTGAACGCAACTTGGAAAAGCCCAGACTCCTTCTTGGAAGACTCTCATGCCCGATAATTGATCTGATTTTTGACACAGCCAATCCAAGTTGATATGATTTTTTTTTTGCCCTGGTAGTGGTCCGTTCCCCTTCAGTGAGCTTCTTTGATACTGCCGTGATAATGATCTGCACAAGCCACATACAGCCAGCAGATCATCTGTGTTTTGAACGGGTCGAGCATCACATAGGAGCACTGATTATCAAATTAGGTTTGTCTTTTTAATCAGTAAATGTTGAATTCATGCGGAGTATTAGCCATTTTAATGACAGAGCTCACCTCCCCAAGAGCAAATGTTCCACCGAAACAAGTTAACCCCCAACGCTATTTTGCAAGGGCACCATTGCTGCATCCTAGTCTTAACCCAAGATGATTGTGATTGGTGTAAAGAAATACAAACAAGCCTGAGCATTTCTTCCCCAGCAGCAGAATGATCATGTGTGCTTCCAGACCTTTCTCTAGCGCTGTGGAGATAAGTCTGGCTACGGGAGACTACACTCAAAAAAATGAGGCCTCACATTAGCTTCAGATAAACTTCTTTGTCCTCCATCATTCACAGTGCAATCACATGACACGTGAGGGAGAGATCTCTTAAAGGCCTGTGTGAACAGCAGGATGATCACAGCAATGTTCGTACTATTGAACAGTTTGTTCTCTTCAGTAAACAATAGTGAACTGAAAACCCACTGTGTAATGTTACTTAAATATAGTCAAATGAATAATCATGAAACACTGTGCAAATTGTTTACTTATGTTTACAACTCGTGACTTTCCTCATGACTTGTGTTTGACCAATCACAGGCGGAGCTGTCCTTCATGCGCTACATCAGTGTGGGCTGCGTTGTTGGGATCATTGCTGGCTTCTGCATAGGTCCAGGTAAACACTGTGCATCTCACTTGAAACCTCTTCTTAAAAACAGCACATCTCCAGTCTATACTAGATTTGGGCTGCCCTGTGTGTAAGATAACACTGCTCCCTGCTGGAGGCCTGCACAATAGCAGGCACCAAATCTTGAGAAGCAAGCAGCACTCCCTCCCTGCTCCTCCTCTGACTGTGAAGAGATATTGTATTTCATTAGTCTTGTAAATTAGGAAATCATAACTGCCACACTACATCCATTCCCACAGCCATTTGTACACTGGATGAGTTGAGTGAAGTGAATTAAGAGGCAATAGTTTACAACTTTGGGAGCCACGTTGAGTGGACCTGCGAGGATGATGAATTAGAACAAATCTGGTTTACGTGATGTCATTCGTCAAGCCAGCAAAATCCATATCTCTGCACGCGGACGAGGATTTCTGTTGCTGCAATTAGACTTTTAATGGCTCATTGTTCATAAGCTAGCCGTGATGAATACGGTTTCCTTCAGACGAAAAGCTCGCATGCACAGTGACGCCCCCCATACATACCGCAGATGTTGACAAATTATGGCCTCGTTATTGGTTTGACGATATTAAACCTTCCTCTACGCAATTATCATGCACAGATAATGAGGACATCATTCGAAAAACTCATCATTGGAGCTTTTACTAATGCATATTTCTCCTTCATAGCTTTCACCTCTAACAATGAAGAATTATGTGTTTAAAGCCAGGACAACATCTCATAGATCCTGCGTATCAAACTAATGACTTGTACAAGTCCTGGCTAAGCTTTTCTGGTTCTTGTGGTTCTGAGTTGGACTTCTGCCAGGCTGACAAACATCCTCCTGTCTTGTCAATCTGTGATCACTGAGTACTAATGAACACATAATGAAGTACATGCAGGAAGAGATTGTAATGTAATAGCAAGTGGGGCTTGAGGAATGTTTATTTTTTGTTATATTATGTTCTGTTTCTTTTGAATGACTGCCAAAGAATAGTCGTTAGTGTGAGTATTGATAAACTAATTGATGAATGAAGACGCTGGTGTTAATCTCACAATACCCAATAGATTCATACCGCTGCTCTGAGTGCTTAAATGTGATTTGTATTATGACAGCTGGATAGGATGCCTAGTTAGATCAGACCAATAGATGAACTGTATGTGGAGTGAGCCGTGTTGTCAAAATGTGTCCTTTAAAATGATGAAAATGTGTATTTTTGTCTCTTGTGTGTAGCTGGTGTGCCTTTCCTGATCACTGCAGAGCTGTTTAAGCAGTCACACAGACCGGCTGCCTACACTGTGGCCGGATGCCTCAACTGGATGTCCAACTTCACCATCGGCTTCGTCTTCCCCTTCCTAGAGGTCAGAGCAAACACAAACTCTACTGCTGGCTTTTGATTTTAAGCTCTGCATCCTGAAACAACCAAGATGTGTAGCAGGTCTCGTGGGTTTGCTGCCTCAAGTACAGTCAGGTTCATTGTAGAAAGAGCATCTTATGTTTATCTTGCATCTGAAATCTAGTGGGCGTTGAGAATCTCAAGATCATCGTGACATTGCATTCATATTCTGTCATGGCTCCGCTCGCAGTGTCAGACACATACCAATTATGATATGGGCTGTCTGGTTTTGTTTGAATAGAGGTGACTCCCCAAATACCAATAAAATTAGCTATTAAAAGCGACCTTGCTGTCTCTCATTGTCCTCAGTGTTGGTGTAGTTGAACAGATGCAAAGTAAAGAGGACGATGATGTGCCCCGTGGAAAGGGATGTTACTCTGCATGAGTTCTGGCCACAAATGTTAACAACACACAGGCTGTCTGTGACACCATGTGGGCCCTAATCTTTTGGTTTTAATTTAATAGGAAATGTATAAATAGAGGCTTCAGAGCTGTCCATAGCTGTATTTTTAACTTGGAGCCATAATAACATTTTCATCTTGTATCCAGTCTTTGTGCTAAGCTAGGAGCAAAAAAGAAAAATGTGAGCAAAGCCTCAGACATGCTCGTCTTGTGTTGTTTTAATTTTGTAAGTCTAATCACTAGTTTCACAGTTAAGAGCCAGGTATTTCTCTTAGGAGGTGGTGGTGACTACCATCTGGCTCGGGCCGCAAATTTCCGTCTGAATCCGACCCAAGCCAGAGAGAGTAGTAACTGACTCTGACCCCAAAACCGACACGTATTGCAGATAATGTACAGAAGTGCTGTTTTTTCTGTTGCCATGCTATGGTTATTACCATGGTTACAACTTGCCTGTATACCATGATTACACTCACAGCATCTTGTAAGTGAACGTCAAAAGACATTTTTCTATAGACTTATCTAGCTATATTGTTTAAACACAAACACATTGTAATCAACAGTTCTAAAAAATTAAATTTGAGTCTTACTGTTGGCATATGTCAAGTCGTCATCTTCACAAACTCTTCTTGAATTGTAACTACTGTTAACTGAACCATTTACATAATCTGACCGTTGTGGTTTTGGAGTTATCATGGAGGAAGGTGATCCATCCACCATGGATGGCTTTAGTGCTGTCCTCCTGTGTTTGATCGGTCTAACAACAACTCTAAAGTTACATTCCCTGCCGCTGATGCTGTAAGCTAGAATGGCCAGAATACACCAAGCTTCAGGTAACACTTGGAGATGATATATTTTGTTTGATGTCCTCCCTTGTTAGCTAGCTAACATTAACTTACATGAATATTTACTGGCTGACATAGTCTATGTGTGGTGTTAATGTGTTGTCACATGGATAACAAACCCTGGCACTGAACAAAGAGTAGTCCAACACAGATAGTAGGTCCATCATTTATAGGTCAAACCCAACCAGAACCTGAACATCATCTGTTAATATTCATTCAAACCCAACGTGATCCATCGGGTCCCATCGGGTCCCATCAGGCACTGGTCAGATATCCAAACTCATAGACGACATGGGATCTTTCCAACCCACAAACGTGATTCCATCTCCTCAGTATTTAGAGTGATGACACCGTGTAATTAACACAATCTTGTTTTCTGCCTTTGGTTCCCACGGTGAATAAGACTACATGATCAGTTACTGAAGATCTCGTAGTGACCAAAACAGAGCAGGAAGGAGAGTGAACACTGGACTTAGATTTATCAGGTGGACAGACACATGACTCCAAATGAATGTTAATGTTGCTCTGCATCTGCTGGATGTGTAAACAATAAACTGTTTGCTAATATGTTCACCACAAACACTTCATAAAGGAGATGATATGTTAATATTGTGTTTATAGCTTGTTTTTATTTTCAATTTAGAAAAAGTTAGTTTCCAAGTTTATAACAAAGTTTACAATTTACAAACAAATTGCATACATAAGACAAATCACAAATACAATAAATATATGTAAAGTGCTGTCTGCTGCCTTTGATGGCAAAAAAAAAAAAAAAATCATACACACGCCCACACGCAAAAAAAATGCCTCTTTAACAATACCAAGTCTCTTGTTTTCAAGGTAACTAATCCCTTAATATAATGTAGAGTAGTTTTCATAGAATCTACAGGAGCCTTCTATGTGTGTTCTCTGGTTGTGTTTTGGATCAAATTTATGTCGACCAGCTTGAATTATCATCTCTGTGGCATGTTTCTGTCTAAAGATCATATTTCTACCCAGATTTCGTGTCTCCTTGCAATAAGCAGTAGTTGTTTTGAGGCAGAAACTGTCGTTGAGCTATGACAGTATGGCTCCAAATTTGTCTCACTTTGCTTTCCTTAGACAATGTTACTAAAGAAAGTCACAACTATTTTATTTGTTCATGCATATGTACTCTTTCCTCCCACCACAGATTTCTATGGGTCCTTACTGTTACCTGATCTTCTGTATGATCTGCTTGGGAGTGGCTGTCTACACTGTCTTCATTATCCCTGAGACCAGGAACAAAACCTTTATGGAGATAAGCCAGATGTTCGCCAACAAGAACAAGATCCCCAAAGAAGAGCTGATTCCCAACGGTCATCTCAAAATGGCTCTGATGAACGGATATGGATCCCTTGGCCTTGGCGATAAATAAGACAGGAGTGATGAGGTGGACTTACATGTAAATGACTGAAGTGAGTGTAGCAGAGATAAAAGGTAAAACTTCTGTGGCCATGAGGAGGTCTGCTGCTTCATGTGAAAACTACAAAGACCAGTGCGTACACACACAATAGTTCCTGTTTTAACGGTTAATCCTCGGTCAAAGTGTAGCTCCTGTACATGATGTGAGACAGAAGTCACGCGGTCATGCGTTTCAAATCAGCCATCAGTGACATTTTAATCCATTTCTCAGCATCTTAACACATTTTTACGGGAGCCCAGTTGGTTTCTCACAGTGCTCTCAGAAGTTTTAATCTCCACATTAGCCTCACTGTGTTTGAAGACATCCCATGATCACGTCATTGTTCATACTCAGCGTTGAATACCATCTCTTTGATGCTCAATAAAGACTGAACATGTTTATTCAGTGACACAACAACAACACCTCTGAGGCAGCGCTTGTATCAGTGAACTACAGGATGGTATGAAAGCCATTCCTCTCATGTTTCACTCTGTGGATAAAAGGTCACAAGACGTAGTGTGTATAATAAAATATTTACTGTTACTGTATGTTTACAGTGTTCAGCTCAAGGGGAATGTCCTGACCAAAAACTTGAGCTTGTTTCTTCTGTCGTTCCGTTTTGATTTTGTGTCTGTTTTAAGAGAGCTGGATATTGTGGCTGCTGATCATTTCGTACATCTCGTCCAAGTATATGCACATATATGTTGTTAACAAGTTATAATTTATCAATATACAATATCACAACAAAGTAGCTGTTAAAGTTTGCTCAGTCGTTTTTTAACTGGCCTGTTTTACACGACCTCTTTGTATAAAATGTGGTGAAAATAAAATGAAGACTGTTCAAAAACTACACAGAAACATTCAAATATGTCTTCTTTATTAAACTGCTGTATTGAGCTGTAAACTGCTCTGTTGATTGAGCCTCATAATCATATCAAACATGCAAAAATAAGAGCAAAAAAACAAAAATCAGATTCATATACAATAAGCTAGTTTACCCCACTGAACCATCAAATGTGGAGCAGCTCTCCTGTGCTACCACAATACTTTAGTTTCATTTGGGGCCAATGTTTACTTCACATTCATTTCGCTGTGGTGACTGGAAGATGTCCCCGTACATATAAAATTACAATCAAGAGAGAAATCATTTACTGGCATTATTGTATCGTGCCAAAAACAACCATAAACATAACAAAAGAAGATTTGCAATCACAGCAGAAATCCACATATATCATGAGACAAATGCCTAAATAAAATGTGGGTGTTGCAAACACTACCATAATGATTCCCAACAAGGTCATCATTGAAAATAAATGTAGAACACTGAAGTCTTTTCATTCCAAAGGGCAACAGTGGAGCTAAAACTGTAGCCTGAAAAATACCAATACAGCACCCTTTACTGTATCATGGGTTTATAGGCTGTGACCAATGACTTTATTAATGATCAATAAATAGTTTAGGTAAAGTTTGAAGATTATTCTTGACCTTGGAAACAGCAGTTGAGAAAAATAACCTCTCCTTAAGGTCTATTTAAAGGTCTAGTGTGTAGGATACAGTGGCATCTAGTGGTGAGGTTGCAAAAGTGACACATCCTCCATGTGCCAAGCGTGAGGGAGAGCTACAGTAGGTGACACAAAAACATGAATGGCCCTATCTAGAGCCAGTGCTTGATTTGTCTGTTCTGGGATACTGTAGGAACAACATGGTGGACTCATAGAGTGTGCCAGGGCTGACGTCAAAACCCGGAAGTTTAGCATCGCGCTGGTTCCCGGAAGAGAAAGTCAATGTGATTTTTGCATTGCGTTTTGGATTATGTCAGAAAATAAGCTCTGTGGCTAACACAAGTTTATGATACTTACAGGTTTTGTTCAGTGAGATAATCTTCACATATGAACACCTTTCATACCGCATTTGAAGCTTAAATGCGATCGCCAGAAGTAAAAAGCTAACGTTAGGCTTTAACGGACTACATGACTACTCCACGGTCGCATGACTCTTGACATCACCGCCACTAAGCTTTCAACTGATTTCAGCTGCTTTATTTTAAAAACATTGTATAAGGGGGAAATCGGACTGTTTAAGCTAAATAAGAAGCTGTAATGGCGGACTGCCAGCACTCTCGCCTGTTCGGGGGTGATGACGTTTAATGTCCCCGACAGGGTTTGTAGTCGTATTGAGCAACTTGTTAGCAACCGCCTTTTTTTACGACACGTAAAAGCTTCAAAATTCACAAGTAGGGTATTTACTGACGTGTTTTATGTCGTAGAACAAAACCTGAAGCTTAAGCTTTTGTTAGCCACAGACCTTATTTGAGGCATTTTACCAAAATCCCATTCAAAAAACGTATTGACTTTTAGACGAGAGAACCAGAAGTGCCGGGTTTACTGGCACACTCTATTCTAAGCTAATGAAAACAACAATTCTTCATTTCAGGTGATTATAAACTAAATATAGTTTCTCAACATGACTCTATCATTGTAAGGTATTTTATTGGTCTCATTACATGTACCTTCACGCGCTGAATCCAGGCTGGATCAGAAATATATTTCAGCCTCTATGAACTGTTGTTAACTTTTCTTTTCTTTTACAGCAGTTTTACTCAGAATTAGAGCCTATAGAGACCAGTGATCAGGTCAGCCTAATTTCTTCTCTGGGGTCAAACTGAGTGGATTTTAAAGGCTAATAAATGAGTTTCAGTGTTAATGGTAGGGGTAATAATGGCTTAATCCAGGGACTTTAAGTGTCTACTCTCAAAGGTGCTCTCTGGTCATAAGTGACTTACGTGTCGGGCAGAATCAGTGTCAGGACTCAAAGGAAACCCACTATAACAGTGCTCTACCTTTAAGATAAGGAGCACTGATAACCAAAATAACCAGAATAACCAAAATAATAGGTGGTATCGAAACGTCTCCAGTCAAATGATACCCGTATTCGGGTTTGATAGCGGGATGTCATGCCGTTATTCTAAAAAATATTTATGAACGTTATATACCATTTCTACCAGAATGGCCCTCAATCCTGCACACTGGACCTTTAATAAGCCACATGGAGCTTCCAGTCATATCTGTAGATGGTCCAACATGAGCAAGAACCCCATAAAGTGCTCAGAAAATCTGAAAAGTATTGAATGTGCATGGGTTTCTCGCTCTCCAATAACCCACAAAGTCTCCACTTAGTAATGTCAATTAAAGGTTTTAACAACAGTTTATCAAGTTTGCAGATGTTAATGTTACAGCTGCAGTAATCAATATTTTTGATTAGTCCGCCAAATCAACTTAAAAGATGATGCCCCCAAGTGGCCAAAAAAAATAGTCATTGAAGATGATGTTTTAGGGTCAGAGGTCAGATTGTTCATTGGGCAGGTCTTCCTGATGAACTCTAGAGCTAATAAGACAAAGCAAGTGCTGTGCTGAAGATTTAAAAACAGTGGCCAGATGGATTTTTCATAACCTGGCAACCCAAAAGTTATTCTTGTTAAGGGTTTATAATCAGGGCCAGCCCCAGACTTTTGGGGGGCCTACGCAGCATTTGGTTTGGGAACCCCTTCTTTGTAACATGTTTGGCACTTAGTGCACTTAATGTGATAATAAGCATGTGCCGATTAAGTAAGATCTATTAGCAGAATTGCTTTCTTGTAATATACTACAGTAAATACAGTATTTGTCTATACCCCCTAACCCTATCAGTGTTTTTTGTTTGCTTGTTTGTTTGTTTTCAAACCACAGAATCCTGGGAGTGCTTGTTTTGTTGAGGACAGTAATTAACTTACTTAGTGTTCCTAAAGTGACAATCTTGCCTATCTCTGAGCTTATGGTTTTGTCCTTATTTCTTGGCAAAAGAGTCTTTTATCAGTTTTTGTTCAGGAAGTTTAGTTTTTATTTTGTTATTGTCTGTTGTTTATTTAAAAAAAAAGAAATAAAAATAATCTAAATCGGGGGCTCTGTGTAACTGCTTAACTCACTTAATTTGGTGGGCCAGCTCTGTTGATAAGTGATTTATAAAACATTAGTAAATTATTTATAACTCAAGACAGACGACATGGGATCTTTGACAGCATCGAGGAGGAAAAAAATGTCTTAAATGTCTTCTGTCCTGAGAAACAACGAACAAACTTGACTCCATCGCCTCAGTATTTATACAGATGATACTGTGTAATTATCACAATCTTGTTTTCTGCCTGTGGTTCCCCACAGTGAATAAGACTACATGTTTAGTTACTGAAGATCTGCAATTCTTTCCTCAACATGTAAGTGAGACATTTAAGTGAACGTGACCATCTCCTGATATTTATGTTGTTCACCTCAAACTGTGTAGTGTGATCATCGTGTGAAAAATCACACAAACTGCAGCGTTCTCTCAGTGTGTAAAATCATCCTGACTGCAGTCCTCCGCCAGCCTGGGTTGCAAATGTGCCATACCATGTGATGCTGTATGGTAAATTTGGGAGTCATACAGTATGTTGAAGGATGGGAAGTGGCGCTGCTCTCTCTCTCATCTCTTCTCACTGCCTTTAGGCTGGCTGATCCATCTGTCAGCCCCTGCACGAGGGCCCTGCAAACCCCCAACTGAGGCAGAATGGATACACGTTGTCACATCACAGAGAAGAGAGAGCAGAGCGTAGACCAGGCCAGAGTTAGAAACATCAGCACCACATCTGGACTGTTTTGAGTTTTGGAAAGATACAGAGTGTCGCAGCAGTTTCAGACATGGCTTCCTGTCACAGAGAGGGAAGGGAGAAAGGTGAGGCCAGCTGGGTGATTGAGAGTCAACCTTTGGAGTTGTTGATTTGCTGCTGAATGACAAATGGACAGCAGAGTCTCAGTCCTGAGAGAGGACAAACAGGGGCCGTGTGGCTGTTCATATGTAACGTCACTCCCAAACAAAGGGCTCCTTGTCACTGAGACTACAGTATATTTCTGTGGATAATGCCACAGCGTTGTGCACATGTGAAAACACACTCGCTCACACGCGCGCAAGCTCACTCCGCCTCGGGCAGGCAGAAGCTATAAATCAAACAAATAGCATCACAGCCTGGCGAAGGAAGCATTCCAACAGATAAAATGCTCTCCCACACAACAAAGCCACACTCACTGCGTAATTAATTGCAACAAATTACCTCTTCCTCTCCCTGTCGGCCCCCACCTCGCCTCTTTTACGGCACTGACAAGCGCACTACACGCTCCTGCGCGCGTGCGCTCGCTGGTGTCTATGCGCACGCGGCGCACACTCCAGTGCGCACCATGGCACCGGTGCGTACACACACACACACACACACACTCGGCCTGCACCCTTCATAAGTGCTTTAATGTGGCTTATTGCAGTGTGCGGTCCCCTTAGCCGTGGAAATATTCGCTTGACGGATGTGCTTTGTCGCCGGCGCTCCCCGGCGGAGGGCGGCTGTCAGGGAGGAGATGATAACATTAACAGGGAGGCAAGGCGATGACAAATGCCTGTTATCAGCGAACGAGGCCGGTGACAAATCGAACGGCAGCGCCCAGGCAGCCCCGGCGCGGCGTAATAAAAAAGAAGATGGATGGCACACCCAGGCAGGGCCCGCGTTAATGCGATTTCCACTGCTCTCCCTGACTCCCAATTAAGGCTGGGAGGGAAGGAGGGGTGGTGGCGGAGAGAGGGGAGAGAGAGATGTGGAGCGCAGGAGAGAGGAGAGGAGATAGAGATTGTGTGTCTTGTGGATGAGAGTGTGAGAGGAAGGAGAAGGATGGTGAGAGGAGTGAAGACTGAGACAGGCGTGAAGAGGAGGAGGAAGGTGGTAGAAGTGTGGGGACAGGGAGGGAATGTGAGGTAGATGCAGTGGCATATGAGGAGGATGGATGTCACTAAGGATGAGGC